AATACAACACAGTGGTGGATCTGAGGTCAGACCATGATAAGATCTTAATCAAGAAAGCCTAACACAGAGCTCTGTGAAGATTTTTTCAGCCTCATACTCTTCCAGCCAAAGATCAATCTACTTATCTAATGCCTTGGGGAGTTGAAAGTCTTGTGTAGCTTAGAGTTAGGTTATTATGGTCAATTGATTGACTTAATATAATAATTCAATGAAAACTAGTTGAAGGGAAACTGGAGTGTTAGCAGTGATACAGAGTTAATATCAGCTGGAAAAATGAAATTCATCATTTTCATTCCTAAGCTGACAATCTCCAAGATTGATACTGTTGACATCTTACTCCACTGGAATGAGGTTCCTCCCCTAATGCCTTCATCATGGGGCTTCTTGAAATCCGAAGGCACAACATCCCCTCTAATTCTCTAAAAAAATTCATCCAATATTGCTCATCGGTTGTCCTTGTCCCTTTTACATGTACTCCCATGTAAGATATTACCATCTCTTGAGTTTAGTTTGTTTATGAAAAATTAGTAATAGAAAACTCTGATTCAAAAGATTCATTAATGAAATTTCACCTTCACATAGTACACCAAAGACATAAAGATAATCTCAATATTTCATTGTGAGACCCAGGAGTCAGAACAGCTCAGCTGTTCCAGCAAAGAGGTCAACCCTCACTGAACCCTCATGGAGATATGCATGTGTGTGTGTGTGGAGATCTTTCCTTATACCTAAGGTATAGCACCAACTTGACTCCTGCCTCCCACGTAACAATTAATTCCCAAAGAGAGTGAGCCTGTAATCATTGTTCAGGATGGACAGATCAATGCCTACAACTCAGCTGCCCTGATGCCTGGTCTGTGCTCTTGAAATATATATAGTAGGGAATTAGTGAATATCACAAAGGCCTTATGCAATTGCAAAGAAAAGCGCTGTCTTAGTTAAATTTGCATCATATTAACAATATACTAAGGGCATATTGCATCTTCTGTTTTCTTGGGTGGCTAGCAAAACAATTTGTCTTGGTTACAAATGGATATCAGGGCCCACAATTGGGAGGAGGGCTTGATTTGTGACAGACACCTAGAACCTAGGAAAACCAATGCTGATAGCACAACTTGGTACCAACTCAGTGAGACATGCTGCCATAATGTTTCCTTAAAATATTTAGTGTCTCCCAAATAAAAAAGTGAGATTTAGCTGAAAATATTCCTTAATTGAATCTCCCCTATTAAACAATGGCGAGAGAGCTTACAATGAGACATCATTATACCAAAGTCAAAATTAGAAAATTGTCAAGAATTTGCAAAGACCAGCTATGATGACTTGTCATGACTAATAATTTCACAGGATCTGGAATCGATTAAGAAATAAACAGATGAGAACTTCTATAAAGGATTATGTTACTGAGCTTTTAAAGATTAGTTTATTTCATATTTTGTATACTGGTCTTTACCTCAAGGTATGTCTATCCTGGTGTCTGTGGAGGACAAGGGTGGGCATCAGATTCACTGGAATTGTGCTCATGGGTAGTGTGGTACATTAACTGGGTACTGGAAACTGAAACAATATGCTTTGGAAGATCAGCAATTGCTGTCAACCACTGAGGCAACTTTTCAGCCCATAATCTGGTTTATGAACTGTGAAGACACACTGTAAGTGTTTGTAGCGACTCCCTGTGGCCTCCAGGTAAAAGGGAGGGTGTGAGGAAAACTGAGATAGTGAATATGATTAGACAATGTCCTAGGACCTGGCCTCTGATCTCATGACAGGCCATGTCCCAAAGCATTCTTTTGGCCACAGCCACACACTGTCATACCCTGAGTGGCATTCATGAACCTCTGTTGTCCACAGACTCAGGAAGTCACAGTCATACACTCCTTCGAGAAGGAAAATCAAGGTTTTGGATAAGAAAGCTAAACATTACCTTAGGACCCAAACCAGCTTTGTGGTGTTTTTCATCAGGATTTTGAAGGTCTATATCAGTGTTTCCATCATGGAAGTGCTGTCTCAGAAAGCAGTGATGCCTGTGGTGACAGGGGAGGGCACATTCAGTGTCCCATCACCAACCCTGCCCACAAGAGACATAAGGTCCTGTTCTCAGGAGTCCCCATCACAGTCCACGCTGGATGCTGCTGCCTCCTTCTAGAACTCTACAGTACACTGAGTCTCAGCGTTCTCCAGTCGACCGGAGACCTGAGAATGGACCGGGACCCTGAAGAGCTATCACCATGAAGTCTTGGAAACTTCATTATGTCCAAGAGAGTAGAACACATGATGAGTGTTCTTGCACCCTGACAAATCATCATAGGCCAACAAATGCTGACCCACATGGACCCGTGCAGATGCTCCACTTGCTGCAAGAATGAAACCACAGACAGGGTAAATGCCCAGTGACACACTACAGCTCCTAGTCACAGGTGAGGTCTTCCTAACCAAGGACAATTTAATTCAAGACCTGAAGTTCTTTCTAGTAACTGTATGAGAGCCACAGATAGAATGTGACTGAATGGATCTGAGTTCTCCTTTGTCACAGGGTGAGATAAGGGGAGACCTTCATCAGAGCATGGTAGAGGACAGATGAAGGGAAACGATGAACTCACTGACCATCTTCCCAAGAGGGTTATCAAGAATTCATCAGTGTTTGTCAAGAAATTATCTGTTCTAAGCTGTTTGAGAGACTGACAGTCCAATGTCTCTCTGGTGTACATAGAATGAGAAATTGAGATCCCTCTATCTCTGGACAAAAGTTTAGATTGTGGTCTCTCAGTATGACTTCTCCTTCACCTCTGTGAGCAACTGGGGGACACATGGCTCTCTCTCTCTCCCTCTCTTCCCAGTGAGATGATAAACATTCTGTGACAGAAGAAGAGGCCAGCAGGTCTATTTAGAAATCTAGACTTGACACAGGCAGCAAGGATGATTCCAGAAGGTGATTGCCATAATTAATTTGAACAACTTGAAGGAGAGAATTTGAGAAGAAGAGGGATTGGAGTGGTGAGGTGACAGGAGGCACACAAGTCCTCAGAGGCAGGCCATGGTGAGATTTCAGCTGAGACAAATGGAGGAAGCAATGTGGAAACCCTTCTTCTCAATCTAAGCAATAGCAATGGCTTTCCCCTCTAGTGAGATTGATGACTACCTTAAATGTCATCCTGGAGCCTTAGTCCAGTAGCTGATGGAAGCAGAAGCAAAGATTCACAGGTAAGCATTGAGTCAAACTCCTAGAATCCAGTTGTAGAGAGGGAGGAGTGATGAGCAAAGGGGTCAAGATCATGCTGGGGAAACCCACAGAAATAACTGACCTGAGCAAGTAGGAGCTCAGAGACCAAACAGACTGCTTTGGAACCAGCAGAAGACCCCCCTGAATATGGGTGTCAGTTGGGAGCTTGGGCAGGTTATAGGACCTCTGGCAGTGAACCAGTATTGATTTATTCCTAGTGTAAGAATGGGCTTTGAGAACTCATTCCCTATGAGATTTACTCTCTCAGCCTTTATACATGTGGAGTTCCTAGGTCCTGCCCCAAATGATGTGACAGACTTGATGATCCCCAATGGGAGGCCTCACCCTCCC